CAGTCTATTATAGGAATTCTCAGTAAACTCCAGGCAGTGCTGCAAGGCGGTACCGCCTCTCCGCCTCTATCCTGTCTCCCAGACACCTACACTGTTGACTTATAGTGAGTGATTGCTCTCGGTTCAGAGTCATTCTTCTACAACTCTGAACAAGCCAGCTACGTCGGGCCCATGACGATAGGCACCCGAAATGGCGTCATGGGTAATAATGAAGGTGGAAATCAGCAGAAAGTGTAAGTTTTCATTGAGATGTTGGCTTATGCATCGACTGAAGCCCGTTGGTTCCTTTCAGCGGCACGTGAAAATCGCATTTCTAGTCACCTGACTGAAGCCGAACAACGAAGCATTCTCTCATCACTTCAGCCATCCGCCAAGGTTAGTTCGAGTTTTTGCTTTGATTTCGAGGTGACTCGTATAAAATTCGAGACGGTCTAGAAACCTACAGTACTTGTTCACTGGAGTAGACCTGAGGCTCTTTGACTTGTCTTTAATGATAGATTCATCCTGGTTGAACATTCACGCAGCTGCTAACAGGGTTGATCCACCTCGATAACGGCATATTTAAGTCCTCAGGAGGGGCCTGGGGACTAGATATTTTTTTGATTGGAGGGGTAGTAAGTGTCAGCCTCTGGCAGTGGGCAGCCTCTCCCGTCGTGGCGACAATTTTCTGGAGGGCATCCGACGTCAAAGGGAAGAGCCATAGATGAACAAGAACCTCCCCGTTGACGAGGTCGTGACCTGGGTACAGCGTCAGGATTGAAGAACTGACGGTGTCAGTTGCAATTTTCCCCGTATGGCCCGCTTCTCCGAACAAATTTCTTCCTCCCGTACGACCTCCCCATCCCTTTCCCCCCATTCCATCTACCATTTTCTTAAGTTTTTGGTAACTTCCTAATTCTTTATAATGCATTTTTTTATCCCTGTTCAAATAGTCGGTAGCCGTGTAATATGCCGGTTCAGCTCTGCGTCCTTAACCCGATGGTGTCATACCCGCTGTGTAAACATTGTCATGCTGAACAAGCACATTCGACGATACCATTTAGGATTTAGTGGAGCTAAAACCATAGAACAATAGCTCTCACTATGTACTATGTATTGTACTGATAGCACTACGGACTGGATCCAGCAGTTATATAAAATGTTTCGGAATATCGGTCCACGAGTGCTCAATGTTTCTAATGAATGTGAAACTCCGAATTTGTTCCAAAAACTCAAAAGAAAGTCCTTATATGGCCATAGTGTCGTGCGTAGCAACGCTTCGCTCAGACGGCCAAATAACCCCGGCAACAAAAATTTTTGCCGGGGTATCGGTGCCGAAGGTGCTATCGCACCTGAAATATCGCAAGACATTTCAAAAGCTTTTGAAGACTTTTCGCTGTCTTTGAGTTTTTTGGGACAAAATTTTTGGAGTACGCATTTGGCTTATAATAAAATGTTTATCAAAATATTAGGTAGGAAGAAGGAGTTCCGCCACAAACAGTTTGAGACCTAAATGTCTGGAAACCAAAATTTCGCGTTACTAAAAGCGACACTTCCGGCCTTATGTGATCAACCAATTTATAACTGGGACATCAGGTGGACATTTAAGAAGACTCTCCAGAAAGAAGAAAGAATCAGAATAAACTTAGCGAAGTAGCACTTAACGACTCTCCACGCCTTGACATCAGAGGGGAGAACGAGCTCCCGATGTGGGCGACTAGTTCAAAAACTGGAACCTATTCGGATAAACCTAACCTCCCACAGGATTCATTGTAGGACGCCGTTCAGCGCCTTCTTGTCCTCTTTCTGAAAGCGCCTTTCAGTTCGCTAGGCCGCAAATTTTTGACGTTGAAGGTACGGTAATCAAATAGGGAGAAAATTGTCAATGATTGAGCTGGTGATGGCATCTAGTGCATGATAGTACGTTGATGAAAACCAATAATTCAGCTCTAAATGTACTGAAGTATGCGCGCGTGTTGGCAAGCCGAGAATAACATGTGACGGAATGAAGAGTAGGAGTCATCTGCTTCATTCGGGATCCGACCAACAAAGAGGTGATTCTCTGATTGGTTTTATTCTGGTCACTATATGTTATTCTGAGGGTACCTCTGAGGGTATAATGTTATTCTGAGGGTGGCTGGGATTCTGGCAAAACACGACCCTCCAGAACTCCTTTTTCTGGTACGACTTCCTCCCCATTTCCCCATCCCTCCAGAACTCCTTTTTCTGGTACGACTTCCTCCCCATTTCCCCATCCCTCCAGAACTCCTTTTTCTGGTACCACCTCCTCCTCCTTTCCCGCCCATACTATCTTTCATCTTTTTGAATGTTCCCCAACGTTCGCCATTCTTTTCGGGGAGTTTTCTAAAAAAGTCCCGCATGCTTCAGAGAAAAACCGCTCGAGGGAAAGTGGGGTGCTATCAGGTTTCTGCAAAGGCGAATTACGGTCCCATCCTCTCTCGCAACGACCCAAAATATGTCCGCCTTCCTGAGATTCGCCAATGTAACATTACCCTGCTTATCCCACATCGAACCATGGTGATGCTGCTTCAAAATACTGCGATGTTCTTCTTTTTTGTGTCAGCGGTATCGGGAGGTGAAAGTCCTTGATTACTCACAAAAAGATGACGCCACAGTTGAAAACAATACCGAGATTCCTTTGAGAAGGAGGCTGAAACCTAACTCCAGAGAACCTTCAAGTGATCCGTACACTCCAAATATTACGGATACCCCTTTGGGTGTATAACAAGTGGCTTCTAATTCATGTGCAAGCCAATTATTAGGTTGTCCGGAAAGTTCTTAGCGTTTTGGGTGTTTAACTTTAAACGATCATAACTTTCTTAACACTCATCGGATTTAATCCAAATAAGCACCATTCGAATCAGCACACTTTTGCCAATGTGGCAGCAGTCGAGAAATCCCATCAAAGAAAAAACTGGGTGGTCGAGAATCCACGAAATCTGCGAAGGTCTTTTTTGCCTGGTCCTGTTTGATGAAGTATTTCTCAGCAGGAAAGTTCTGAAAATGTCTGAAAAGGTGACAGTCGTTTGGTGAAAGGTCTAGAGAATATGGTGGGTGAGGTAGAACTTCAACCCCCAATTCGTTCAATTTATGGATAGTGATTTGTGAAACGTGTGGGCGGGCGTTGTCATGCAAAAGAATCGGACCCTTTCTTTTGATAAGTGTTGGCTGCAGCTGACAATATTTTCGGTACATTTGGTCGGTTTGTTCACAGTAGGGTTCTGCTGTGATGGTTTGGCCTGGTGATGAAAAGTTATAGTGGATTACAACAGCCGATGACCACCAAACCTGACCAGAATTTTTTTTTCGCGAGGGTTCGGCTTTGAAAATTACCTCGGTGGTTCCTCCAAATCCAACCACTGTCCGGAACGTCTCCTGTTATCATACATGATCCATTTTTCATCACAGGTGACAAATCCGTTCAAAAACGGGTCAATTCTTTTGCGCAAAAGCAGTGAAGAAGGAACCTCGAGACGTGCCGATTCCTGCCGGTCACTCCGATTGTGGGGCACCCAATTGTCGAGTTTTTTCACCTTTCCAATCCGCTCCAAACCATCTGCAACAGTGGATTTGCCAAGGCCTAGCTCTTCTGCTATCTCTCGAACTGTTTGGGATGGGTCAACCTCAATCCCCCTAAAATCCTCGTCAGATATTGCTTTAGGTCGACCGCTATGAGGTTCACCTTCAAGGCTGAAATTTCCAGAACGACATTTGTTGAGCCATTGCGGCACAGTGCTTTCTCTAGCACTATTGGGCCTCCACACCTGGTTAATTTGTTGAGCTGTTTCGATTGCGGATTGCCCCAATTTATAGCCGAAGAAAAAATCGTCCGAAGTGCTCTTTTCACATGCTTGAAAAAATCTTGAAAAAAGAGGGTTTATCAAGCAATGGTGAAACGGCAATTATACCATCAGATAGCGCAAGAAATTCTCTACAGGATGTGCTACTGAGAAGCAAGGCAGAATGAGTTTTTAATCAGCAGTGAATGTACAATTAGGTGCACAAAACGCTAAGAACTTTCCGGACAACCTAATATTGTTTATCGATTAGACCGTTCGCCCTCCGTACTCACCGGCCTGCATAATTGAGGAATATCCAACGAAGACGTTCTATTCGCCTGTGGGAGAGAATTCGCACTTGGCGAGCTAATACTTGTCTGCGTGAATCTGTCAAGAGGAGAGGGGATGGTGAATGTGACGGGAACGATGTAGATGCGAAAATGTTACTCTCTTCACTTGACTCTAACTATTACTCTATTCACTCATGGTAGGATTTGATATGATTCTCCTATTAGTGATTATGATTCTTAAGGCCAGTTGGGCACGATGACTTGGTGCTCGGCCTAAAATGCTAGTAGGGCGCTATATAGTGGGGAAATGGCGAAAGAACGGAGTGAAACGGTCAAAATTCTGCGAAGAATAAAGTCCTCCGTCTCATGTGTTCAGAAACTAGTTTGGACCGAGTTCCCGTTCCCGGTGCCCATCTTGCCAATACCGCTACGCGGAAGGTACGGGCTCATAAAGCTGGTATCATAATCATCCCATGCAGCATCACGGCCGCTTCATACCAATCCCTTCGCTTCATAATTTGCTTAGCAAATGAAGCAGTACGAGCGTCAGGAACGGTCGTCCATTTGTCGCGCGGGCGGCGTGGAGGGCGTTTTGTCGTATGTTGTGGCTTGATAGGGCCCTTATAAAGGCACTTCCCTTGAAAAGGCATTATGCAACGCCTGCTCAGAGTCGCATCATTCCGTTCTGCCAGGTTTATTAATCCTACTCGTCTTGGGAAATTATGCCTGCTGCCTTTAATGGCTATAATCCTTTGTCATTTCTTTTCAAGTTTTGGAGGGGGATGACTGATAAGCCATGGGTGGCATGTTCTACTAGCCCAAAGAGGTGCAAAAACATGCAGTATATCATTCAAGGAATCCATTTCAGTACGTGCTATCATTGCTTCTTCCTAAACCAGATGAACAGCTTCCAGCTAAAGTGCTTTGGACCATGACCGTGTGAGTTTCAAACGTACATTTGAACATGGGATTTGAATGTCTATTAGTTGTCAAGTAACGTTGTTCAGAAAGTAATGATCAGTACAAAGCCTGGGCATTAATGAACAAGTTAACAAGGGCTTAGAAGGGCGGATAGCTCAAAAACCTCTCCCTATGCAAGTTTGCTCTCACCACCGCTAAACGTACATGGTTGGGGGGAATGGGACTACGAGCCAGCCGCTTTTTGTACCTTTCCGCATATTCAAGGCTTAAGCTCAGGATAGGAGAGATATGAGACTAAGTCTTCCCTGCGGGACTATTCCTCGGCAACTCTGCTGATTGCGCTATAAAACTGAGGGATAAAAAGACGCGGCCGAGTGAGTAACCCCCCTCCCCCCATTACGCCAGCGTCTTCAAGCCATGTAGCATAAGTTCCATTTTTCTAGAAGAAATTGAAATATTTTCAAGCGCTACCGTAGTTCGAAGAGGAAGAGCCCGCATTAAAAGAAGGCCTTAGAAGACTTTGATCATCGGTGCTGTCCTAAGGCTGACAAATGTATAAGCTAAGGACGACAGTTGGTATACATTATCCCAAAACTGCGCGTAAATCAAGGGTTTAGATCTTTGGGGCAGTGCTGATTACGTTAGAAAACCGATGGGGGATGTTGGGCGTACTTACGTAACTTGAACTCTTAACTCCATGCTTAGTTTGATACTATGCACGCGTCACTTCATGCGTGCGCTCCATCTCCCACCGCCCCACCCCCCAACCCCTTTCCCTCTGCCTCTAGCCTGGGTATCGGCCAAAGCGGTTCTGGTTCATGAAAGTACCGTAACACCTTTGTGATTGAGTTGCACCAAATTACGAAGACGATGCAGGGATATCAAAGCCCTATGAATGTTCCACAAGTTGCCCTACTACTACAACCCTTTCCTTAGAAGCTTTTAAAAAAGGAGAATTTTCCTATTCCGCCTATTTCCTGTTATTTTTAGCGCACAACACCAAGTCCCCTGAGAATAATATCTTTTTAGAACCGCCTTCTTTGAGACGGAACGGACTAGTGACGAGCATTTGCTGACATTCATCATGGAAACGTTTCCGCGCGATGTTTGTGGCCTGAACTTTTATGATCCACGTGAAGCTGACGAGTTTCATCGGATACTTGTAGAAGAAAACCGAGGTCAGTGGGCGTTTGTAGACAGGGATAGCAGCTGAGATACCTCTGCCACTTATATTCAGGAAGAATCTCCCGACATGCTAATCGACCAAAGCGACAGGCACCACCGCCCCCATCAAAGGTGAGGGTCGACCTTATAATATTGTTTTCTTAATTATATTCAATTCAGCAAGGAAGAGACGTTTTAAATGGTGTCACGCGTGCGACATTCGCACCAGAATCCAGTCGATTAAATGTTGCAATGCTGCTGCACTGCGCAATAAGCAGGAAATGATCTGTTAGCCTGTCCGCGAAACTGCGGCCAGGTTTCTGCTAAGCTCCGGGTGGCTTCACCATTTTTCAAAAACTGTCTTTGAATATCACCCGTACCCGTGCTTACTGGGCGTGAGCCAAAATTCCCATTCTCTGTACTATCAAGACACCAAAATTAGTTCGTGCGTTTTTTGTTTTACTTTTATGAAGCATATTTAGTACTGGATCTTAGTGGTAGGGTAACTTTGAATACATGTTAAGACATATGTCAAGGAGTGTCATTCAGTGTATTTGTTAATTTAGATTACTTTCAATTAAGGCGAACAGAAAAGTTGTGGTTTTCCACCAGGACAATGCTAGACCACGCACTGCAAGAATCACTCAGGAAACAAGCGCGACTAGGATGGGAAATTCTACCTCACCCTCCGTACTCGCCAGACCTTGCTCCAAGTGACTATCATCTGTTTTTGGCCTTGGACAACCACATGAGGAATCGGCGATTTGAAAATGAAGTGGCTTTGGACAACGAACTAAAACATTTCTTTGATTCCCAGAAGCAAGATTTTTACAAAAATGGAATGTTTAACCTGCTTTTTATGTTATTATTTTCGCTACCTTCAAAACCGCACGAGCATTTTTGGTTGGCCTAATAGTATCAAATGCCATGCAACCAGGGCACGTCGTAGGTTAGGGATCCCCACCTGGGTCGTATTTGGCCCTTACAGGACGGTGACCGAACAGCGGCATCTTCTGCGACCGGCGATGCTCCAGGACCCTCAAGGGCAAGGTACCAGGCAGTGGTGAGGCTGACGATGGTCTACAGCAGTGAGTGCTGGCCCATCTGCAACCATGAAAGGCAGCTCCACTCAGCTGAAATGAGGATGCTGAGATGGGCCTGCGGCTGGACACGACTCGACAGAGTCAGAAACGAGACCGCTCCGATCCAAGCTGAAGGCACGAGAGCAGCGCGACTGCGATGGTATGGGCATGTACTGAGGAGGCCTGAAGACCACCCAATAAGGAAGGCATTGGAACTCGAGGTAGAGGGCAAGCGACCACGAGGAGCTCCAAAGAAGAGATGGGGGGTCATCAAGAAAGACCTCAATGAAGTGAAGACCACGGCCGAGGACGCCCTATAGGAAAAGATGGCGACTGAAAGAACAGCGTACCCCGCGGCGGAGCGGGATTAACGCTAGGGAGAAGACGATGATGGTGATGAAGAGAATGGAGGGGTGGTAATAGTCTCTGAAAGAAATTTGAACCGCCGTACCGTTTCCCTAACACATATGTGGTTTATTAAACCGGGCAGGATTAGTACACTATCTCCCAAATTTCATTCCTTGTCTTCCTGTCAACTTTTTCACTCCAAAAAAGACATTTTGGAGTTTGATCAAAGAATCAATCAGAATTCACCTATCAAGCAGAATGATCTTTCTGATATGGAACTGTGTTTGCTGCTTTCTGAGCAGCCATTGTTTAGTAAATAACACTCGATGACTAGGCGCTTGTTTGACTGAGTGAGGAATATTGATAAAACAATGATAACAAGCACAGCAGACTGTTGAAGTCAGCAAAGTCACTTTTTCGATGAATCAGTAAATATTGATTGACGTCACCGATTAGCCAAGACCTCTTCAAACTTCAGCTATTTCGAGGGACAAAGAATTTCGATTTCAGGTCGTGGGCGTGGAAGCGATCGACAGACTCTCCGAACTCTGTGAGTCAATTATTATTTAGCCCTTGATTACCAAAGGCACTGTTATTTATCCCTTAATGACCATAGTCACTGTACAGGTGTT